TGTCCCAGGATGGTGCCTGCCTAATGTCAGTCTTTTGGATATAGAGGGTCCAGGGAGCTGCTTGAGGAGACAGTTTGTACTTTATAGGGGTTTAATTGCTGAGCTGTGAGCTGTGTTGTTCATTCAGGGCTGTTAGGCTGCTATGTTTGATTCTGCTGCAACAGAGCTTATTAAAAAAACTCTTTTTTTTCCTCAAATGCTCTGTGTTGAGGGGTTTGGGCTTTATTTTTGGATGTCCGTTGAGGTCCTGCCAAGCTAGGATGCAGACTAGCCACTGTTTGCCTGCCGAGGCTCCGCCCTGCTGTTGTGAGGCTCGCCCTGGCTCAGCTGTTCTGCTGTTTTCCGCCACGCCCTGCCGCGGAGTCTCTCTGTTGTAGCGTGTTGCCTCGGCAACGGCTGGCTGCGTCAGCAGTGGGCATGTATCTCAGTAGGGACGGGTTGCCTCGGCAACGGCTGGCTGCGTCAGCAATGGGCGTGTATCTCAGTTGGGGCGGGTTGCCTCGGTAATGGTGGCTGCCCCTCCCCCTCAGAGCGTCTCTGGCCGTCTGCACGGGACTTGTTTGAAATCGCGGTTTTGTTCGTCCCACTGGGCCAATCCTAACGCTCTGTTCCTGCAATCCCCTGGGCTGGCCCACTGTGCAAGTCTAGCTCAGTCTCAAGTCCAGCCCTCTCACGTCTCCGGTTGCCGGTTCAACGGGGCACCCGGACAAGTGCGCCCTGTGGGGAGCGCTGGGTAGGGCCGGCCGCCGCCACCCCGGCTGCCGGCTTTGCCAGGCGGAATATCTGCCTGGCGTCCCGCGTCTCCTCTTCACTTGGGAATTTCCCCGTTCCGTGGGCAACAAAGATCAGTCTGGAAATGCAGCTCAGACTCACCTCTCCGCAGACACAACGAGAACTCCAATCCTGGGTTGTTCTCACAGCGCCATCTTGAGTCCTCCTCGCCAGGCTCTTTTTAACAACTAGTTCTTGTGGGAACTGAGTACTCACTCACCTCTCACCCCCAGGGAGGACATTCATCTATTCATGAGGATCCACCCCCAGGACCTAAACACCTCACATTGTGTTCTACCTCCAACACTGGGGATCACATTACAGCATGTGCTTTGGGGGACACATATCCAAATGATAGCAAAGCAATCTCTTATTGTTACATGTTCAGACCATTTTCAGTTTTTCTTTTTTTTTGAGACAGAGTCTTGCTTTGTCATCCAGACTGGAGTTCAGTGGCAAGATCTTGGCTCACTGCAGCCTGAGCCTCCTGGGTTCAAGTGATTCTCGTGCCTCAGCCTCCCGAGTAGCTTTTATGACAGGCATGGGCCACCACGCTGGGCTAATTTTTGTATTTTACAGTAGAGACAAGGTTTCACCATTTTGGCCAGGCTGGTCTAGAACTCCTGACCTCAAGTGATTTACCTCTCTTGGCCTCCCAAAGTGCTGGAATTACAGGTGTGAGCTACGATGCCCATTTTCATTGTTTCTTTTTTCTTTTCGAGATTGGGTTTCACTCTTTTTGCCCAGGCTGGAGAGCAATGGTGTGATCTCGGCTCACTGCAACCTCCAACTCCCAGGTTCAAGCGATTCTCTTGCCTCAGTCTCCTGAGTAGCTGGGATTACAGATTGTGACACCTCCCATGCCTGGCTAATTTTGTATTTTTAGTAGAGATGAGGGTTTTACCATGTTGGTCAGACTGGTCTCTAACTGGTGACCTCAGGTGATCCACCTGCTTCGGCCTCCCAAAGTGCTGGGATTACAGGTGTGAGCCACCACACTTGGCCTTGTTTTCAATTTTTCTTAATAAAAAAACCCACCACTGAGATGAATTTTTTTCATTAATCCTTTAAACAAATTTTTATTGAATAGATACTCTGTGCCAGGCATGTAATAGCCTTGTCTCTGTGCAAACTCATATGCCTAAATTTCTGCATGATTATGCCTTTCAACAAATGTGTACTGTGGGAAGGAGGGCATAAACAGGAAGGTGGCATCACTTTAAAATCCACACATTTAGTTTTACACAATGTGCTTCTAAGCCTTTCTGTAAGTCTTCTTGGGAGGCAACATTATCAACTAAACTTTTGCAGTCCCTCTTATGTTTACCTATCTCTAGAATGAACCTGAATTTACGAATCCACCTTTATGAACTGAAAGATTGAGAAGAATTTTCTGTGTTCCTAATTGCCCATGCTCATCCAAGTGCCCCAAAACTGCCCCACTTGTAGAGCCTCCATGGGTCAGTCTGCTAAAGTAAAGCAGAATCCCAGTCCCCACTCCAGACCTGCCAAGTCAGTGTCTGTGTTTTAACGTGATTCTCATACACATTGGCATGTGAGAAGCACTGAGTTAGGCCTTGGTGCTTGGCCCACACTTGACCCTGGTCCTCCTCTCTGAACAACAGAGGCAAGGAGACCAGCAGTGACAGCTGTGCCAGGAACAGGTCAGCACCCAGGGATCCACACAGACTCTTTTCACCATCCCCAAGTCCTGTGTGCACAGGAATTGGCCACTAAAGATAGGCTGCCTGTAGAAAAGGACATTAGGACCTTTGCAAGCTGTTCAGCAGGGAGAAAAAGGGTGGAACAGGAAAGGGAGGAAAGCAAGTCCTGGACTCCCCAAACCACAGTTTGTCTAGGTGCTACTTTCTAACGTTTCCTTATTTAGTACATAGTGTCATGAGACATCTTTTTGCTGACCTCTTTTCCGTTTGCATTTTGCCCCGTATTAGAATGCTACCATCTAAAATTTCTCCATGAATTTGAAAGTTTAAGTTGTCAGGGACTGAATGTGTCTATTTTCCAACAGTTTCTGGCAGTTCTCTGCTTTTATGGTGTAGTCATGGTGAAACCTGAGTCATCTGAAGATGGTGGCACTGACAGAGAGCAGGGGAGAGGAGCGGCAAACAAGCCAGGACTGGGAAGAGTTGGGCATCAGTAACTCCCGGGCACCACTGGCGCTGGCCTTCCTTCTGACAGGAGAGCCACCCAACCCTAACTGTGTTCAGTGAGATTGCTCAAAGCTTTACAGTTCTGCCGAATTCTTTCTGTAGCAAAAATATACAGGCATCTTCTTAGATAATTGTTTTTCAGGGTTCCAAGTAGCAACACCTAATGTCTGCAGTGCCAGAGTTCTTTTTTCTTTCTGTTCTTCTTCCCCCCCTTTTTTTTTAAAGGTGAGAAAACATAACATTTTCTGGAAAGAAAAGCAGTAGACCTCAAGTTTTGTTTTAAGGAAAGTAAGTTTTTCTGTTTCCATTCATATACATTAAATAACTACCCAGGAAATGCGCCCGTTTGGGTGTGTGTGTGTGTGTGTGTGTGTGTCTGTGTGTTTGTGTGTGCCGTTTCTCTAAGATTCTGACTCATAGTCTGGAGGACAATGATTGACTTTTTTCCACTTCACATAGCTGCTATGAATTTCTTCTCACAAGGATGGGCCTGTTTACTCACCCTGGGCATCAGTTGGTAGGGCGCTAGTGTAAACAGCCTGAGGAACCCGGTGGGCCAGGGAAGTGGACGCGCTCAGTTCTCCGTGGCCAGAGGGGACGCCCGGGCCAGGTGGGGCCGCCTGCTTTCTCACCCCTCTGGATTTGCGATGTTTGCCAGAGCAGCGAGAAGCGCCATTGTGATGGGGATGAGAGGGGTGGAGCCTCCAACTCCTGTCTCAATTTAGATCTCTCACTCTGCTGTTAGGCGCGCCCATTTCAGATTGCTAAACTAGAATTGAGGGGAAAAAAAAAATCAGGGAGGAGGTGGCAAGCCACACCCCACAGTGCCCGCGAAGTTCTCCGGCCGCGGACTGTCGCCCAGGCAGAAGCCGTCGAGATGCAGGGCCCGCCGCTCCTGACCGCCGCCCACCTCCTCTGCGTGTGCACCGCCGCCCTGGCCGCGGCCCCGGGGTAGGAACGTGGGCGCGCGGGGGGCGCGCGGGCGCGCGGGCCTGGGCTGATCTGCGGCTCTGGCCAGGGGCTTCTGGGAGGTAGCAGGGGCTGTGCCGCAGAGGGTGGGAAACGCCCGCGCGACTGCGGTCCCCAGCCCGGCACTGGCCGGCGGGTTTGACTAAGCTTCAGCGTGGCTCTCCATGGAACGGTTACTTTCTTCACTCCTGAAGTTGTTTAAGCGTCTCCCTGGCCCTAACAACTTTCTGGAGAGAGTCATTTTGTTTTTAGTCCACGTTGCCTCTGCCTTTTGCTTCTCAACCTTTTGCTCCCAGATTGCGTTTCTTCTCTCAAAGACATACGATATATTTTTTCTAACCAAGATAAAAAGTGTGGCGGAGGGGACTGATGTTTGGGTTCAGGTGCAGACATTGTAGGAAGATAACTAACAACAGCACCCAGTAATGGAAAGCCCCATTCATTCCTAAAGATTTCTGTAGTTGAGCCATAACCCCTAGTTAGAGCAGAGAAAGTGCTGCTTTAATGACTCCTTTTATGCTCCGCTATACCTGGAATTTTCATCAGTGATAGCTTATTTTCAAATGGAATATTTCAATCAATGGTATTAGTTAAATAATTTTTTTCCCTCGTTGGGCAGATACTCAAGCTTAAAGGTTTGAATACGAAAGCAAAATCTTTGTTAAAAAAGAAGAAGAAGAAGAAGAAGAAAGCAATCACTCTGGGATAAGGTTGTCTGTAAAGGAGAAGCTTAGAGACTTCTGCTTTGCCAATGACTCCAGCATGCCCCGGTGCAAGCCATTAACATCATGGTTCCTTCTGTGCTGTTTGTGGTTTATAAAATGGAAATAATAACACAAGCTTTCCTCTGGTAGTGGTGCATGAATTACTGCATTAAAATTGATTTATGGGTATTATGGTTGTTAATTCCCATATTTCAATGGGAATTTCAATTAGCATTTGCTAAATAGAGCAGTGGACAATATTAACAGAAACAACTGCAGTTGGCACAGTATGTAGTGCCTTTCACACTATGAAATCTGAAGGTCACAAAAGAAAGGAGATGTGAGGATAAGAAACTTTGTTTTTCCCTTGTTGGAAACTCTTTAGGCCCCGGTTTCTGGTGACAGCTCCAGGGATCATCAGGCCTGGAGGCAATGTGACTATTGGGGTGGAGCTTCTGGAACACTGCCCCTCACAGGTCACTGTGAAGGCGGAGCTGCTCAAGACAACATCAAACCTCACTGTCTCCGTCCTGCAAGCAGAAGGAGTCTTTGAAAAAGGTAAGGTAAACTGTGTAAAGTCTTACCCTTCTGCAGTAATAATTGGAATATGTTAATAAGGTCATGTGTTAGGTGGTGTAACAGAGAAACCCCAAATTTGCAGTACCTTATCTAACATACTTTTAGTTCTCACTCATGTAAAGTCCTAGATGGTGTTCCTCCATGCTCTTCCAAGTGCAGATTCAGAGACCCGGGTTCCTTCCATTCTGTGGCTCCATTATCACGTGGCTCCCAAGATTGCAGGGGAAGAGCATGGGAAGAGCGTGTGGAAGGTTTTTGTGGCTAGACCTAGAAATAGCTCACATCACTACTGCTCATATTCAGAGGCAAAGGAGGCTGGGAAGTGTAGCCTACTGTGTGCCTCAGAAGAGGAAATGGGCTAGTCTGTAACACAAACTCATATTTATTGAGTGCAAAGTATTTTACAGAATAGGCCTGTGGGAAGGAAAGGAGAAGCTACACAATAGTTAAAATCCAGTTTTATGGAATACTTCTTAAGTTTTAAAGTTCTAAGAAAAAAAGAAAATAGCGTGAAAGTGGGAACCATTTGTAAGAGAACCACGTTTGGTTCTTGTTTCAGGTTAACATGGCCCAAGATTAAATTGGGCCAAAGAATGTCTTCTTTTTCAATACTAAGGGAAAAACAATGTTGGGGGAAGGGGTAAATACTTAAATACTTAAACTTTTTTTTTTCATTAAAATGAACATTTATTGTATTTTTTCTTTTTTTAGATTAAGTATTATTATTATTATTTGAGATGGAGTCTCACTCTGTTGCCCAGGCTGGAGAGCAATGGCGCGATCTTGGCTTACTGTAGTCTCCACCTCCTGGGTTCAAGTGATTCTCCTGCCTCAGGCTCTCGAATAGCCGCAATTACAGGCACATGCCACAATGCCTGGCTAATTTTTGTATTTGTAGTAGAGACTGTGTTTCACTGTGTTGTCCAGGATGGTCTCGATCGCCTGACCTTTTGATCTGTCTGCCTCAGCCTCCCAAAGTGCTGGGGAGCCACCGCACCCGGCCTATTATTATTACTTTTCGAGACAAGTTTTCACCATGTTGGCCAGGCTGGTCACGAGCTCCTAAGTTCAAGTGATCCACCCACCTTGGCCTCCCAAAGTGCTGGGATTACAGGCGTGAGCCACTGTGCCCTGCTGAGACATACATTTTTATAATGTTAAGAGTTCTTTAAAAAAAATCATTTAAGGCACATAATGAAGGGTGGATGGTATTCCATAACAGTTCATTACATAAGTTTTTATTTTCTACAAGCATAGAGAAATGAACATCATCATGAAATGAAATAAAAGTAAAAGTTTATCTACATCTGTGGTTCTTTCCCCACTGGAAGTTCACTGGGTAGGTATATTTGGAATAGAAGTCAGGAAGAGATAGTATGTGTAGGGGCAGGCCACTTTGTCCCTCAGGAGCAATGTCAGGGAAGTGGGAGGCCATATTTCCCTGGAGGGAGGAATAGGTTAGCCCATAAGATCTGAGTTTGAATCCTGGTACTACTCTGCTACTTGTGATCTTGGGGTAGGTTACTTAACTGCTCTGAGCCACAGTTTCCTCGTCTATAAGATGGAAATAATGAAACTGACTTCCTAGGGTAGTTATAATGTTAAAATCTGCATGTAGTACCTCTTAGGCACTCAGTAAACAACAATTGCTAATATTAGTATAACATTACAGCAGAAGAAGATGCAGAAAGCTCATTTCCTTTTACATGGGGGCAGACTTCAACTTTCTTTTTTTTTTGCCAATCAGTTTGAGCTTATGAGGTTGCTCAGGTTAGCCTTGAACTCATGACCTCGCCTTCGCAAGTGCCACAACCTCCAGCGGGAGCCACTTTGGACCCCAGACTTCAACTTTCATTATTGAACTGTCATTTCTGAAAATGAATGAATCCGGATCTTATAATAGTTGCTAAAGAAAATATTGAAATATTAAATCACAGGAGATAATACTTAAGGTAGTTCCACATTTATTATTTATTCATTAAGAATTTGTGAGTGGGAAGAGGAGAGGATCGAAAAACTACCTATTGGGTACCACACTTATCACCTGGATGATGAAATCATGTGTACACTAAAGCTCGATGACAGGCAATTTACCTATATAACAAACCTGCACATGCATCCCTGAAAGTAAAAGTAAAAAAAAAAAAAAAAAAAAGAATTTATAATCTTGGTTCTACTAGTGTGGCAGTTTTCCTGCAATTCACAGGTCCAGAATATATATGGATGTTTTTGATAAATATTTGAGCTTTACTTGGACATTTGCATACTCTAATTCTAGAATTTCACCTGGTATGTCTTTTCTGTGATCTCCGTTATCAGTCTCTTTCTTTTTTTGCAACAAATAGTACCTGCATTGGGGGTGCATGTTGTTGTGGCTTGGTTTTCAGCTTTATTCTTAGATCTTCTTTTGGGAGAAGGGTTCTTCATATGCCTGTGGGAAAGTTCAAGTGCTCAAGAGTGGGTCAGGCAAAGCTGTCCTGGTAGCAGTGGATCTGTGGAAGGGAAAGAGGGAAAATGCTGCTTCTTTCATGGGCTGTTTTTGACTCTATTGATACAGAGTTTCATTGAAAATGCCATTGCTAGGAGCACTCACCTCTTTCAAAGGAGAATGTTATTCTATTATCAGAGGCTGGGAGTTATTGTTCTCAGAGCAGATGCTTCCTGTAATGTGAGGACTTGAGGATCTAGACACTTCTCCCTGCTTGTCTTCATATCCTTTGCTTTATTTGGCTTCTCCAGTTGTAACAATACATAGATGCCCCAGGGCTTCTAAATCAGGGGTCTGGATCTTCAAGTATCTGGATCTGGATTTGTGTTTTGTTTGTTTTCTCCATCATATTAACACCAACAAATAAATACCTTTTACTTTTAAGAGACAGGGTCTCGCTCTGTTGCCTAGACTAGAGTACGGTGGTGCAGTGGTGAGATCATAGCTCACTGCAACTTGGAATTCCTGAGGTCAAGTGATCCTGATGTCCCAGCTCCTGAACAGCTGGGACTACAGGCAAGTGCCAGCATACCTGGCTAGTTACAAAAAAACTTTTTTTGTAGAGATGGGGTCTTTCTATGTTGCCCAGACTGGTCTTGAACTCCTGGGCTCAAGTGATCTTCCTGCTTCAGCCTCCCAAAGTGCTGGAATTATAGGTTTGAGCCTGACTGTTTCATCATTTTCTTGTGAGCCACCCCACCCCCTCAGAAAAAGGTTGGTTTTAATTAAGATTTATCTTCTAGTAGAGTTGGGTAAGGCAGTAGACTGTTTCTCGGTAGCTTATTTCCAGCAGTCCTGGACTTCTTAGAAATCCTCAGGGTAGGGAGGCGTTTTACCCAAACCGTAATAGATTTCTGGCTTAATTTGTGTCAGAAATAGTAATAACTAAAGGGTATGAATGCAGAATGTACTTAATAAAGGTGAAGAAGTATGGTTTTTCTTCAGTGAAGAGTTCCTTTGTTTGTTTGACAGATATGGGGGAGATTTGATTTACATTTCTACTTTTAAGGCCAAGAGTGTAGGTTATATTACTGTTATTCATTTAATTCTACATTTGGGGATTGATTATGGTTTTTTTTTGGTGATTAATAGACCTTTAGAAAAAATATTTCTACTACACTTCGCAGAGTTTGGGGAAGGTGTATCCGTATCTTTTTAGTAGTGAGATTCAGAAGATTGCTTGTCACGATCACCACTGTTACTGCCCCTACCACTATCAGCATCATCACCATGATCTCCATAGTGAATAGAACTATGTTCCTAATCTTATCTTCCTTTGCCTAAAGAGTTAGTTAAATAAACATAATTGACAAAGCATAGTAAAAGTTCAGCAGGTAGTAATTACCAGAGGAGAGAAGATAGAACAGCTATTGGCTTTGAAATCAAGTCAGACTATTGTACTGGGTGGAGAGTGAGTTTGTCTTTTTACTCTTCCCATCTTGGTTTTTTTCTCTTTCCTTACTGTGAGGTTGCTCTGGAGTTCCATGCCAAATTAAGAAAAAAAAGGTTAAGAACATTTTTAGACCTGTATTCTCATCTGTTAAGGCATATAAAATAATTTAATTTTTTGATGTCCTTGAAACCATAATTTCTGTTTTATTTTCCCTTTTCTTGCTATAATTTGACATTTTCATTTGTAAACTTTCAGTAGTTTTCCTGAACAGAGTCACTTCAAGTAATAAAGAATATGGTCTTTCTCCCTCATTAATGAATTTATCATCACTAGTTTCGTGTAAACCGGATTTAAGAAAAAATCCTGGAGGCTAGGTGCAGTGGCTCACAACCATAATCCCAGAACTTGGGAGGCTGAAGTGGGAGGATTGCTTGAGCCCAGGAGTTCAAGACCAGCCTGGATAACACAGTGAGACTGTATATCAAAAACAAAAACAAAAACAAAACCCAAAACCAAAAACTCCCAAAAACCTAATCTGAAAATGCCTACTGAAAAATTTGGCAACTCTGCACGGGCATCTCCTGGTGAGTGCTTGCTGGATTGGGGCACCATTTTTTAAATGCTGCCAAGTCTATTTCTATCTTCCCATTGAGTTATTGGGGTAGGATGTACTTTATAAATGTGTCTTTATAGCCTTTAATAACTTGCTTTTTCTTGTTGTCCTAAAATCCTGGAGAGTTAATGGAACGTTAACTTCCTTTTTTTTTAAGATTAAAAAAAAATCTGTTTTTTTCCTTTGTTGTCTTTCTCACGTTGACTGTGGTATATTTTATTTTCCATCCTGGCTCAGTAACTGTGAAATTCTTAAAATTTGAGATATTAGCTGAAAAACTTAAAAAATCATCCAGTTCGGTTAGGATGGTTTTCTGGTGGAAACAAAGCTCCTGAAAATACATTTCATGCCTCATAGATAAAATCAGCCCCATGGTCTTCATGAAAGTAGATTAATTAGTGTAGCGTGTGGGCAGATCTCCCAGGGCAGGTTTCCACAGGCAGCTTTGCCAACAGAATTCAGTCTCAACCTGCAGTTATGTGAGA